CAAAACTTCATAGGAAAAATGAGGCTGGGTACAGTGGCTCTCACCTGTAATTCCAGCACTTTAAAAGGCTGAGGTGGTTGGATTGCATGAGACCAAGAGACTGGCATGGGCAACATAGTAAGACCCCATTTCTTTCTTTCTTTCTTTTTAAAATTTATTTATTTTACTTTAGGTGCATACTATATCTCGCATTTCTCCATTGTGGAAGACAGTGTGGCGATTTCTCAAGGATATAGAAATAGAAATTTCATTTGACCCAGCAATCCCATTACTGGGTATATACCCAAAGAACTATAAATCGTTCTATTATAAAGACACATGCACACGTATGTTCATTGCAGCCTGTGTACAATAGCAAAGATCTTGAACCAAACCAAATGCCCATCAATGATAGACTGGACAAAGAAAATGTGTTAAGACCCCATTTCTACAAAAAATTAAATTTAATTTAAATAATTTGCCAGATGTGTTGATGCTTGCCTATGGTCCCAGCTACTCAGCAGGCTGAGGATTGCTTGAGCTTTGGAGTTTGAGGCTGCAGTGAGCAATGACTGCATTATAACACTCCAGCCTGGGCCACAGAGGAAGACTCCGTCTCTTAAAAAAAAATAGGAAAAATATAAGGGCCACAGTATTGTAAGAAGGATAAAAGAACAACAGAAGGAGAGGAAAAACTTAGTTTTGATTTGAGATGACATCAAATAACTTTAAGATCTTACAATAAGTCATTTAAATTCTTTCAGTCTTAGTTATATCATTATGATTTCTGTGATCTTATGTGACATAACATTTCATTAAACAAGAATTCTTTTGAAATTGATGAACATGGCCAGAATTGGAGGGAGTAATGGGAAATGAAGATCCAGACTTCAAAGTCGTAGAAAATTAATACCAAAGAGTTAAAAGTTTGAACTGACCTAGGCTCAAAATCTGGCTTCACAATATAATAGCAAATGACATTGGGGAAGTTTCTCTGTGCCCGTTTCCTCGCAAATTGAACTGAAGGTGATAACAAGTATCTAAACTGCAAATGTGCTGAGTGTTAAATGTGATAATATGTAATAATTGCTTAATGATGCCTGATAACCAGGAAGGGCTCAAAATGAGGTAGAAAATACAGTGAAATATATCTATTCATACAAGAGACACAATTTTCTTTTTACTTTTGTCAAGTTTTATTTTTCCCCCAGATGGGGACAAAACAGGTTTTGAGCATGTTGGCAGAAAAAAACACAAGTAAATGTAGTAGTGATTTAGCAAGACACTGTAGACACAACATTTCACAGCAGGAAGGGAGGAAGACACAAGAATTGAGCAAGCAAAAGAGGAATATTATTCAGACATAGAACTCATCAGTGCAATGGCTAAAAATACTGTGGGTTAGGCCAAGAAATCGAGTTGTTCTGTGGGCCAGGAACTGTGATTTATAAAATACAGCACATCACCTGTCAATGGCTGTTCTGTATTGACCCTGCAGTCTGTCTATTTCCAGAATTACCCTGATTTTCTAGCCTCATTGGGGCTATTGATTGAGCTTTGTGAATGTTTTTCTGTGAGCATGCTAAGTGAGGAACGACTTAGACCACATTGTCACTGTTGCCCCAAGCTCAAAAGTATGTTCGGGGTTGACAGCTTCTGTAGCCCTCTCATGGGTTGACAAAATCCTTCCATCTGCATGCAGTGTTTAACTTAATGTGAGAAAATGAAGGTTTCAGAAAGAAGCAACAGTGTACTTGAATACAAAACTTTGGACATGTTTTATATTCATTCAGGGCCATCATATTTTCCTAGGACTGTTAGGGGTAGGTTCCCAGTTGTGACTGTAATCTCTGTATCCAGCCCACAGACACTCTGTACTTTTAAAATTGTCAATTTGCTTTAAAAGCTACATCTTTTGCCTCCATCTGTCGTGTGCCAAGCACTATGTCAGGTGCCATGGCTGAAACAAGAAATAAGACATCATCTCTATACTTGTACAGTACACAGTTTCAACATGTATTGCTATGTCCCGAGTTTTGTATTCAATATCTGAAATTAGCCAAATTAGACAATCAACTAATACTTATGCGTTGATTTTTATGTGCTGAATGATCCCTGGCCATGGTGGCAGTCTAGCAGTAAGACACAGAAAGTGTTGTTTAGAAGGGAAGAGTGACCTAATGATGATGAGATGATGGAGACAAATCCCCACCTTCCAGAAGGAAGGTAGATGATGGGGGAGACAGAAGTGGAAGAGGAATGATTCCATGCTGTAACGGTTATAAGCACTGGTACCACTGGGTAGAATGGAGGAGGTAGGCATGTAGAAGAAACCCGCTGGAAAGACAGACTGTGTGTCTATGTGAAGCAGGTGGGGAATGCCTGGATAAGTTTGGAAACTTTATTGGAACATTGTGAGAAGAGACTGGGTACCAAAGTGGTCAGATCTCTTTCTCCTATTTCAATGATTATTTTTTAATTTGCAGTTAATTGAGTAGGCCGTTTTTTTTTGTTTTTTTGTTTTTTTTTTTTTTTTTTTTTTTTTTTTTTTTTTTTTTTTTTTTTTTTTTTTTTTTTTTTTTTGCCTATTCTCCTGGTAAAGTTTTGGTTAAAGTTAGTTAGCATGAGTAAAATCTAGAAAAAATGGCATGAAAGCATGCAAAAATTTTCTGGGCTCAAAATATATCACAGACAATTCTATTCAAAGTGGTGGATTTCATTGTCACATTATTCTTTAATCATTTACTGTCTTAGACTAGTGGGTCCAGTCTTCCACCTTGACTTCATGTACTTTCATTCCACACAAACACTCACAGGCATAAAGGGGAGGTGGCCCCATGTCAGGTCCTAGGAGTGTCCCTGTATGAGCCATCCCATGTGGGTACACACAAAGGAGTTGAGAGGAGAGAAAAGTCCTGCCTTTTCGGTAAAAGGCACATTTGATCTTTCACAACTACCACAGAGAAGAAGGCAGGTTTCCTGGAAGAAGCACATGGGAGGGAAAAGGAAAATTAGAAGGCTTCATCTGAGAAATTGAGGCTAAGCTTGAATTCCTAATTTCCAGAGGTCTTTTCCAGGAAGCATGTCTGTCTGTGGTGTACCAGCCTTCAGCTGGGTGGCTCCTGGATCATGTCTCTTTCGTCAACCAGGCTGATGGCACCAGCACCAGTAGCTTCCTTCCAGGAATGCATAGCCCATCCTCTCTGGTTTTCTGTTGAGTTGGTCTGGCCCTACTTAAGAGGAAAATAATTGGTATTCTTTCCTCCTGTGTTGGGCAGTAATTTCCTTTCGAGCTACCCCTTACATCAGGACCAGCCCTCTCTAAAATTATGCAGTAGACAGTTTGCTTTTAAGCATTTATTTTTCTCCTTTTTTTTTTCTGGTGGCCATCAGCCACATTAGCCTTCTCCCATTGGCCCAAACATTTAGGACTATTGTGTTTTCTTAGGACTGTCAGGGATAGCTTCACAGTCATGACTATAGTACCTGACTCCAGCTCACAAACACTCCTTCCTTTTAAAATTGTCGATTTATTTTAAAAATTACCGGTCTTTTGCCTCATTCTACCATGTGCCAAACACTATGCCAGGTGCCATGGCTACAACAACAAATAAGACACGGTCTCTACACTTGTGGAACTCACAGTTTCATGAGACGGATGGGCAAGAATATCCAGCATCACAACAAAGCTCCAAAGGCATGAGACAGCATAAAACATTGGCAGAAATGTCACTATGGCAGAGCATGGATAGCCCCTAAAGAAATAAGAGGATTGTTCTGGAAAGGCCATTAAGGAAGCATCCTGTACAGATGGGGATATGTCTAACCTTTATTCCAAGGGCTGCTGGAGACCCCAAAGAAAGATATGCAAGAAGATGATGAGATCAGATTTGCAGTTTAGCAAATCCTCTCTTTAAAACATAGTCAGGAGACAAGACCACTTAATTCATATCAGAAATCCAGATGCGGAATTGGGTCACCTAGATTGAGGTCATGGTATTATGGATAGAGAGGAGAGAGGACAGATTGGAGAGATATTTAGAAAACAGACATTGCCTGTAGTGGCGATTTCTTTTTCTTTTTTTATTTTATTTCATTTTATTTTTAATTTATTTTATTGCATTTTAGGTTTTGGGGTACATGTGAAGAACATGCAAGATTGTTGCATAGGTACACACATGGCAGTGTGATTTGCTGCCTTCATCCCCATCACCTACATCTGGCATCTCTCCCCTTGCTATCTCTCACCAACTCCCCACCCCCCACCTTCCCTCCCCTATTTCCCCCCAACAGACCCCAGTGTGTAGTGCTCCCCTCCCTGTGTCCATGTGTTCTCATTGTTTAACACCCGCCTATGAGTGAGAACATGCGGTGTTTGATCTTCTGCTCTTCTGTCAGTTTGCTGAGAATGATGGTTTCCAGGTTCATCCATGTCCCTACAAAGGACACAAACTCATCGTTTTTGATGGCTGCATAATATTCCATGATTTCTTATGCCAAAGTTTGGGAAGATGGTCAAAGAGATAGAGGAGTCTAGAATGGCTCTAAGGATTGTGACAAAGGTGAGGGCATGGTGGTGTCTTCCCAGAGACATGGTATGCACTAAATGGAATTGATTGAAGGCTCTTATTTTGATAGTAGTGGGTATAGATAGGGCTTAACTCAAACTCTCAAATTTATTAATCACTTCATATATTACTTTCTTATCAAAATGGCATCAAATTGATTTCATTAAGTTAAAATACCTCTTTTTTATACCATTAAAGAATTTTTATAATGCTGGCAATTTTAGAGACCATGAAAAATCAATTGAAGAAATGTTCTTTCATTAGTTGGGTGCTGGGGTGGAGCAGAGTGTGGAGCTGCCTGGAACAATCTGCATCATCTGGGTCTCTGGCCATTACGTTTAGATGTGACCCTCACTCTCCCTGCACACTTACTTTTTCTCTCAATTTTTTCCTCCAATTTCTTTCCCCTCCAGCCTTGAATTTGTTATTTTATTCTTTCCTATTCCAGCATTGCCAAACTCTCCACTCTATTCACTGTGCTCTGGCTACAGCACAACCTCCCAGCTTTATTTGTAAAATAAAAGGAAAGGAATGGGCACTTCTTTTTCATGGATGGAGGATTCAGCGAGAATCACCACTGCTACCACAGAAGACATTTAGGGTAACAGGTGGTTGCTGAACCAAGTTAGAATTACCATACCCCTGCTATTTCCCAGGCAGATAAGCTCAATAGTGTTGACAAAGCTAGGGCAAGAGGACACTTGGGAAATAAAAAAGCCTCTCATACGTTAGAAAATCTTTGTGTCCCTTGATTCTTTTATTTCTGTCAAAGCAACCTTTAAATACTCATTTTTCTTTCTCTCCTATTTCTTTGATCTGTGGGTAGTATGTAAAAGCCTTGAATTCCCAAATATCCTACTCTCACAAGAGTTATATATATCTATATTTCCTTCAGGGGATCTTTTGAAATGCCTAAACTAATTTATTTTCTTACACAATTGGAAAAACCTGGTTTTAGGATCAGGCAAATTGAGTAGGAGATTTACTTCCAATGGCACCAAAACTTTCTTAAATAAATTCTGAGAAAATTGCCTTCATTCAGGAAGTAAACTGAAAGATATCCATCACCAACACCTGAGGCAACTCCCCAAGTCCTTGACCTTCCCTGAAATTTCTGTTGTGGCAGCTCCTGAGTCTCTGATTCTGAGAGCTGCCTGATTCTTGAATTGTTCTTTGCTCAATTAAACTCAGTTCAAGTTAATTTGTCTAATGCTTTTCTTCTTGCAGAAGATGTCAGAGTGGGATCTGCTGTAGGCTCCCAGTGGCCCCCAGGAGCACCAAGTGAGATACCTGCTGGGCCCACTGTGTCCATTGTCCTTGGTAGCCCCGGAGGATCATGGGTAAGTTCTTTGATTCCAAAGCTGCATGAATTTGTGTTTTGAGCTTTCCAAGTCTGAGCGAATTTTGGATCCAAACTGGGTTCAGAAGTCATGACAGAAACTGAACTGGGTCCATGATTGTACTGGATCTGATAATTAACTAGATTGGATCCAGTTAGAGGCCTCAGAGCCTGACTGTACCAAACAGAAGCTGGAAGTAAATGGCAATACTATAAGGGCTGAGAGCTCTGGCTTTAGGAAATTCATGGAATTTTTGTGTTCTATCCTTTGTAGGCTTTTCTTATGTGCTTAGGTAGGGAAAATCATTGGTTAAGTTGATCAAAGGTATCTGAGGATCAAAGTCCAGATTCATCAGAAAAATGGGACCCCTTAATTTCTGAAATCGGAATATTCCACTTCTGGCTATGCCTGCATTTACATGTATATGCTAGACACTGGAAGCAGCAAACACTTGGAAAAATGGCAAAGTCTTACTAAAGGTAGTTTTAAATTGCAGGGGAACATTCCCAATGAATAACACTGTATTTTAGGAAGTACATTTAAAAGTGAGGGCTCCTGAATTAGGCTCACTCTAAGATGTAAGGGAAAAGAGATAGCAATAGACTCTTTCCAGGTGTTATAGAAGGAATAGCAATGAATGTGAATAGAAAAATGTTCAATAAACAATGTGGAACCAGAAATCTTGAAAGTTTTGTTGCTTAAATATAACAGCCAGACAAATGCTTCCACCATTCATATGATCAGATATCTAGCTGCCTAGTGCCCTTCATCATGTGGTGGGAAGAACATATCCACTTGTTATGCAGTGGACCTAGGAAGTGGTTTCAGATTGGTTTTGGCATCTTTGAGATGGTTTTGGATAATATTCTGTTATGAAAGCTAAATACAAGTTATGATTGCATGCTATAAGAACAGCCTGAATTCATTGGCTGTTCAATCCCCTAAACCCACGCTGAAATCCTGCAGGGCAATTGATGTCAGAGACAATTTAGAAAGAAAAAGATAGCGTTAGCTACTGAAAAGTATGGAAATGGCTTTGGGCCTCAATTCTGCTGATGAGCAACACAATTGCTATGATAACTGACAATGCTCAGTTCAGCTTGGCAGAGACACAGACCTTGGATGACTTTCTCCAAGTAGCATGCCAGGACCCCCCAAAAAATATCAAATGACATAATAGGGGGTAAGCAAAGGAGAGAGAGGTCACAAGACACTTACTCCAATGGAGTTAAAAGTCAGGAGAGATGTCTGCTCACTCCAATTTTCTAGCTGAGACTGAAAACCAATGAATTCATCAAATGTCTTATAAAATAATAAAATTCGGCAACCAATTAATACCTGACAATTGAGTTGGAGAAAGAAAAGCGCATGTTCATGTAAAAGAAAATTTTGTAGAAATTCTTTGTTCTTCTTAAATTTTATCAAAATTACCACCACAATAAAATAATAAGACTGGTTTTCTTGAGAGCAGTGACTATCTATTTTCAATCTTGTATTCTTAGCACCCAGGACCGTTTCTGGCATAGAGTATGTGCTCAATAAATGTCTGTGAGTGGAATGAATATATGATCAAGTGGCCACATTTATACACAGACACCCACATATCACATTCACAATATCCACATGATAATACCTACACTAATATAAACTTTTTCTACTCATTATTTATGACCAAAAATCAGCAAAATTTTTCTGTAAGAGTCCAGAAAGTAATTCTTAGACCTCAGGCCATATAAATGCAAGTGACAGACTGAATTTAGTCCATTGCCTGCCCTTTGCTAATCCCTCATCAATCGCTACTTGGTTATGAAAAGCATTTGATTGGTTGATTGATTGATTTTTGAACCTGTCATGTAAATAAATGGAATTCGGAATGTTGTATATAATTATACTATTCGAAATATGTCACATGCCAGAAAAGTCCCCACGTTTGAGAAATTGCTTTGTTTTTAAAACAATGCTTTCATGTGGGAACTGGTCTGAGAGCCACTAAAAAACATCACCTTGGTAACCTATTGGTTATCCTGATAGCTTTGCCCCTAAACTGAGCGTGATTCTTGGCAAGACTGGGTAGAGGACAAGAACTTCACAAGCACTTTCTCTCCCTGGGATAAAAATACAGGGACAAGGACAGAATCTTAAGGAACTGCCAAGTTCACTAGATGACCAAATTTGAAGCTATTTTTTCATGTTGTCCTTTGGTCGGAAATACTTGAAATGCTTCTGTGTGTTGTAAGATTTGTTCTCCACTGTCACTTCCAGGCTGTCTCTCTTCCTTCCTCCCGCAAAACCCCAGAGTATTTGATGTGCATGTCATAGACTTCATTATCCATTATCCTTCCTCGTTGTTTTCATATCTCTCCCTCCAAATGTCTTCTCCTCATTCACTGTGTTCTCATCACCTGGATTCACCTATGCCACTGTCAATCACTGCATAGGATGGTGCTTAAGGACAGAGAATCTAGAAGCAGTCTGATTTGATTAAAACATGTCTCTGTCACTTACTAGCTCTGCTCTGTCTCTTAAATTATGAAATGGGTATAACAATAGTACCTACCTTGTAAGGACATTGTGAGAATTCAATGAGATTTTTTTGAAAAGGTAAATGCTTAGAACAGTTCCTGTTATAGAGTGAATACTTAACATATTAAGAAACTTCACAATTTGGAAATAAAGTAATACATACATGATACAAATGCAAATAGTACTAACTGGTAACACTTACTATATGCTAGACACTGTTGAAAGCATTTTATATAATGAACATTTTTAGATTTCACAACAACCCTATGAATTGGCTTATATTATTATCCTTTCTTTAAAGATGAAGAAACCAAAAACTATAGATGTGCACTACGTTATCCAAGGTTAGCAGCAAATAAGTGATGAATCCAAAAAGTGAGTAGTCCATCCCACTTCCTGGTGTCCAAACTATTTTTAGCTCCAACTATCTTTTTCTACATTCTAGTTCCACCATCTTGTCATCATCAATAGTTGTAGCACCTTCAAAATTTTAATTCCAACCCTCTTCTCTGACCATCTTCTGCACACCTTCAACATTTTAGTGACTTCCTTTTATATTCCCAAAGAAACATTCTTTGACCTCATTCAAAGTTTAAAGGCATTGACCTGACACCTTTTCACCATCTGTCACCTCTAATCAATTCTTCTCTTTCCCTATGCATCCTAAATTTTTTCATGGGCTAGTGCCGTAACACTCTTTTAAAAACACCCTTAACTCCTTTTCTTCATCTTCCCTCCATTATGCTATTTATCTGGCAAAACCCCAAACTCAGCCAACCAGATTATCCACTTCTTCTGTGCCAATGCTATAACCGCAAAAATACTGCTAAAAATCTCAACTTTACTAGGCTGCCCCATAATATTTCTCAAGAAAATGCACCCCCTTTCTGACTCTTACACATTCTCCTGTCTCCCCAAATTTCAAACATCTCTTATCTGCCTACTCTGTTTTCATAACACTGAAGCTTACTTTAGAAAGAAAATAAATATAGTTGCATAAGAACTATCATTGTTTTCTGCTAACAATTCAGTCAGCCTTTCAGCATTTGTACTCATCTACTGACTTAACCCTTCTCTTAAAAGGTTGCACATATTTCTGTTACAAAGAGAAAACCCTTTATCAGTAACTTAAATCCTTTCCATCTCATTTTCACCAGGAGTTACATCCTATAACAGTTACATTTCTACATCATTTTATTTCCCTCTTCAGGATTATTCATATTGGCATAGAAATATACCCCAATATCACCTATCTTAAAAACAAAACTAAAATGAACCCAAACTTCTGTGACCCTATATTCTTCTCTGGAAACTATTGGATATATCTTTTCCCATTTACATTAATATCCCTTAAAATATAATTTGTGTGTACTGTCTCTATTTCCTAACTTCATTTCTCTCTGTTTGCTTTAATAGAACTCTGAATCTTACCCTCTACTGAAATTGTCTTTATAAAATTGTAGATAGATGCTATTAGTTATTTATCCCAAAGATATTTTCACTCCATTTCTTTTCTTCTTCTCCTCCTGTTCTCCTCCTCCCTCTTCTTTTTCATTTTTGTTTTCTTCTACCCTTTCTTTTAGGTGATATTTTATAATACTTGGGCTTTTCTTCTGTGTGATAAGTAAACATAACCAATCCCGTTCTCAGTCTTTGGGTATGAATTGTAATTGATCATAGTCAAACAGGGTAATTTTTCTTGCCAATTGCTTGCCAACTTTGTTTGAAGAATAATCTAGGCCAGTGAGTATTCAGTGAAAGTCTATTGGGGCACTTCTGGGCAGTTTCTAATAAAGAGAGAAGGATGGAAAAAAACATCCTTTGCGGGGGATGTGACCATGCCTTCTGAACAATCCTGATGGAAAGCGACGGTGACGGGTGTGCAGAAAATACCATGAAGTAGAACATGTTTCTGACAGATCATTCTGGAAAACTCTCATATTAGAGTAGGAGATTGATGGAATTTGGAATTGATGAGTAATAAGAGACTAGCAAGGCTGATACAGTCATGGTTTCTTAAAGTGTTTTAACTAGTTGGTTTCCAGGGTGTCCATTTAAATAATCTTGGTCACTTTTCAAACAATGCTTTTGATTGTTACTCTCAAAGCAACATTCTCTTTTTTTTTTGTTGTTATTTGACATATGTCATTAACAGATGGTAGAACACAGAAAATGAGGAAAATGATGGAAAATAAAGTAAAAGTTAGGAGTCAGATGTTCTAGAAGTGAGGAATATAGACATATAACTACTCTTTCTATCCCTATAAGAGGAGAAAAAAGCAAGTTATGATGTTAGTTTCAATGTAATACAGGAAATCATTGCATTTTTTTGTTTATTAATAAACTTTTTTTAGAGCTATCGTAGTTCACAGTAAAATTAAGCAGAAAGTACAGAGAGTTCCTATATTCCTCCTTTGTCCCACACATACACAACCTTTCCCGTTATCAACATTCTATACCAGAGTGGCACATTTGTT